CTACCGAATATTAAAAATTAGATGTCTTCTGCAATGAAAATATTGATTGCATGTATAAGAAGGATTTTCTTACTTTTGCCTCTGTATATTGGTTCTGAGTTATTTGCGTACATGTTGGGTTTTGCTTTATATTAACAGCAATCTCAATCACTCACCATTTTCCCCCAATCACTGCTCAACAATATCTTGTTAATTGACTTTGGACCTGCATATCATTACTGGAATGTTCGAGTCCATTACCGTACTATGTTGCAGTTAACCGATATTGAAATGTAATTTATTTTATGATGATTACCAAAATATAGACCAATTTTGTGGAAAAGTTCGAAAACATCAAATTGTTTCGTCATTCATCAAGTTTACAAAATTAATATTGAAAAAAGTGAAAAAGCGGTAAGTTCGGCCGGGCCGAACTTTGGATACCCTCCACCATAGATATATTGACAGGTACTAGAAATGAAAATATAGGGAACATACCAAAAAGTGGACCTATACCGACATTTCTAAAAACGGATTATGTAAACCATAATTAAAAATTTTAGAAAATTTTAAAGGATAATTATACTCTCAGCCTTATGGCTAATGAGGGTGTATAGACTTTAACACGGTGAAAATGTGTCTCATCGAAATATTGGTTGTAGACCCCATGTTTCTTTGGACCAAATCCGTTTCAGAAAATTTAGATTTCATCCAAACTTTGCCCATCTTATTATTTCTTCCAAGCTTAGTTCAAATTCTCGAACTTCCAATCAGGGGCTAGGTCTAAATGCGGCTATAGTTAATTATCGAACCTTACGTTCTAATTGTTTATCTCTCTATCCTCCGCAGGTGAAATGATTACAAAAGAGACTTAGAACCAAACTCAAAACGCGGAACAAATCAGATAACTATTTTAATATAAAAAAAGGGGGTTATATGGGGACTACCCCAAAAAGGGGGTGAATATTAAAAATTTTTGGTAGAGAGATTTGTTACCATATACGACTACAAATTACCAAATTGCAGCAAATTCGGTTGAAAAATGCGCTCAAGAACCCCCAAATACCGAAAATTGGGGGTACCCTTATATGGGGGCTATCCGAAAAAATGGACCAATATTCATAATTTTTGGTGGAGAGATTTGGAACCTATTAGGAACCCAATGTACCAAATTTCAGCGTATTCGGTTGAAAAACGCGCTCAAGAACCCCAAAATTCCGAAAATTGGGGGGTACCCTTATATGGGGGATATCCGAAAAAATTCACATATGTTTATAATTTTTGTGGAGAGATTTGGTACATATTAAGAACTCGAAATACTAAATTATAGCCAATTCGGTCGAAAAATACAATCAAAACCCCCAAAATACTGAAAATTAGGAGGTACCGTTATATGGGGGCTACCAGAAAAAGTGGACCTATATTTATAATTTTTTGTGGGGATATTAAGTACCCAATAAGAACCCAATGTACCAAATTTCAGCGTATTCGGTTGAAAAACGCGCCCAAGAACCTCAAAATACCGAAAATTGGGGGGTACTGTTATATGGGAGCTATGTCTAAACGTGGACCGATATATCCTATCTTCGAACTTGACCTGCCTGCAGACAAAAGACAACCCTATGCAAAATTTCAGCATCCTATCTCAATTCCTTCAGAAGATAGCGTGATTACAACAGACGGACGGACGGACGGACAGACGGACGGACGGACGGACATGGCTAGATCGTCTTAGAATTTTACCCTGATCAAGAATATATATACTTTATAGGGTCGGAAATGAATATTTCGATGAGTTACAAACGGAATGACAAAATTAATATACCCTCCATACTATGGTGGAGGGTATAAAAAGGGGGTTATATGGGGACTACCCCAAAAAGGGGGTGAATATTAAAAATTTTTGGTAGAGAGATTTGTTACCATATACGACTACAAATTACCAAATTGCAGCAAATTCGGTTGAAAAATGCGCTCAAGAACCCCCAAATACCGAAAATTGGGGGTACCCTTATATGGGGGCTATCCGAAAAAATGGACCAATATTCATAATTTTTGGTGGAGAGATTTGGAACCTATTAGGAACCCAATGTACCAAATTTCAGCGTATTCGGTTGAAAAACGCGCTCAAGAACCCCAAAATTCCGAAAATTGGGGGGTACCCTTATATGGGGGATATCCGAAAAAATTCACATATGTTTATAATTTTTTGTGGAGAGATTTGGTACATATTAAGAACTCGAAATACTAAATTATAGCCAATTCGGTCGAAAAATACAATCAAAACCCCCAAAATACTGAAAATTAGGAGGTACCGTTATATGGGGGCTACCAGAAAAAGTGGACCTATATTTATAATTTTTTGTGGGGACATTAAGTACCTAATAAGAACCCAATGTACCAAATTTCAGCGTATTCGGTTGAAAAACGCGCCCAAGAACCTCAAAATACCGAAAATTGGGGGGTACTGTTATATGGGAGCTATGTCTAAACGTGGACCGATATATCCTATCTTCGAACTTGACCTGCCTGCAGACAAAAGACAACCCTATGCAAAATTTCAGCATCCTATCTCAATTCCTTCAGAAGATAGCGTGATTACAACAGACGGACGGACGGACGGACAGACGGACGGACGGACGGACATGGCTAGATCGTCTTAGAATTTTACCCTGATCAAGAATATATATACTTTATAGGGTCGGAAATGAATATTTCGATGAGTTACAAACGGAATGACAAAATTAATATACCCTCCATACTATGGTGGAGGGTATAAAAAAATGAATCAAAACAGGGCTGGTTGCTGCTAGAGATATTGACGTCTTAACATTTGTTTGACACGAGAGAAAAAAATATGTTTATGACTTATAACGTAGAGTATTTGTGGTGTTCTCTTTTCATCATCATCATTGCAGCACAGTGAATTCAATTCCATTATTATTAATGTAGAATTTCAAATAACATTTTCAACAATTCCAAATTCACAATTTCAAAGGATTTGGAGCACTATAAAATTAAAAAAACTTGGCTAGAATCTTAAAATTATCGACAATTGAGAGGGGGTACTGTTATATGCCATACATGCCAATATTTGGACCTATTGGTATGTATGGTATGGCGTGTGGAGGCTTTTATACAAAACCTTAACAGCTTTGTAATAGCCAATCTGTATTCGAAAAACTAAAAATACTTTAAAATCGGTATATTACTATATTCAGTATGCCAAGAATGACTTTACATGTTCAAATGTAGAAGCTTGAAATAACACAAATTTTTGATATTGATTTGTTATTTATCATAATTGTGCTCTGTACTTAGTACAGTTTGAGTCACAATTTGTTATTTAATGTGTAAACTCATTATTGACATACTGTAGGTGCATTTGTGTAGTACAAAAAACTATACCAATCCTGTGCGTTTAAAACTATATCCTTTATATTGCCAGCCTAATATGTTATCTATCTAATGGAGTCCTTGAATAATATCCCGAGGTGTTAAAAACGATTAGACAGATTTAGATATATCGTCCATTTTATAAAATATTTCAACATTTAAATTTAGTAGAAAACAGCTGATATGCAAATCAAAATCATCTGATAAAATGGGGTCCCTGAATAATATGCCGAGGTGTTAAAAACGAAATGACAAATTAATATACCCTCCATTTTATAAGATGAGATTTTTCACTCCCAAATTAAAAATTATTCAAAATTTCATTATTGCTTCTCAGTCTAAATGTGATCACTTAACTCACACAAACCACACCAACTTTGTTAAATACTCTGTTTTTATTTATTTATTCCATTCAATAATACATAAGCCTCCAAGGCCAAAAATAGTATTAACAATGACATAATGTCCTAATAACTAATAATAATACATAAATATCAAAAAAATGCTTACTTATATAATTGGCTCCCCAGCCTTAACTATCACACAAATGAAAAATTTGCAAAGATTGACCAGAAGAGTAAACAATGTATACAAAAGAAAGGTAGTAAATTCCATTACACGTATCAAACATAGGTCTGTCTCATTCACCACTCGACTCCCCACAATCTGTCCCTTTCTCAATTATGTTGCTGTTCCAGGAGCAACGGAATAGGTTGTAAATTTACTAAATAAAGATTTGTGTGTAGGGGTAATGATGTGTTGTGGTGTCCCAGCGACGACGACGACGGAAAAGGGAGCAACGTACCCGTATGCTGGCTGACTGGCTTACTGGTAATGCAGTTATTCATTGCTTATATATTGTAACCGTATAAGCCAAATGGGGACAAAACCGCTTTTTTAAACCAGTTCACACACAGTACAAAGATCTTTCAGTTGTTCTTCGGTTTAGTTTTGTTTTTATTCCACTTCTTAATTCAATGGCTGCTGCTAAGACTTTTTTCCATGGTTTTCTTTTTGTTCGACAATAGACTAGGCAATAGCTCAACCAATAGGAAAATCCATGCTAGAGACATACAGACTGAGAGACAGACAATGATTTGCGTCCGTTTGTTTGTCAGACCTTAAATGTATGCATACAACGTTACCATTGTTTTTATATTAATGCTGGCTGCTGGTGGTAGTAGTTGTAGACGTTATTATTGTTTAAAATATTACCACGTCCAAGTGTGAATAAATTATTAAATAATGTAATTCAGATTAATGTAATTTATTGTTGTTGTTTTTCATTTCATGGTATTCAAAAATTGAGATTTTTACTCCTGAAGAATCTAAAAAATGGAAAATTGTAGATACTCTTGTTAGTAGAATTTCGATAAACTCCAATTTAAAGTTGGAAGACTGAGAACAAAAATACTTAGTATCCCTACCCACATTCAATTCAGAAAAATATTGACTTCCCTGAAAAAAATAATCCTTGAGCGATCGATTCACATAAAAAGTAAAAGGCTGTAGGTTATACATTTCCATAATTTTCTGCAAATATCTTTGAAATTTTTATCCACTCTTTTTTATTTCAAAAAAGTATATTAACCAATTTCTCTCTTTTCTTTTTCTTTCCCTTCCAGACCTTTACAGCATGGTGCAACAGTCATTTGCGCAAGGCCGGCACCGGTATCGAAAACATCGAAGATGATTTCCGTAATGGCTTGAAATTGATGTTGTTGCTGGAAGTTATTTCTGGTGAAACTTTGCCCAAGCCCGATCGCGGTAAAATGCGTTTCCACAAAATTGCCAATGTCAATAAGGCTTTGGACTTTATTGCCTCCAAGGGTGTTCACTTGGTATCGATTGGTGCTGAAGAAATTGTCGATGGCAATTTGAAAATGACCCTCGGTATGATCTGGACCATTATCTTGAGATTTGCCATCCAAGATATCTCCGTTGAAGAGATGACCGCCAAGGAGGGCTTGTTGTTGTGGTGCCAACGCAAAACCGCCCCCTACAAGAATGTCAATGTACAGAACTTCCATCTGTCATTCAAGGTATGTTAATTAAAAATGCAAATTAAATAAAGAGAAACTTTAAACTGATGTCTGGGCTTTGTTTTATAGGACGGTTTAGCCTTCTGCGCTTTGATCCATCGCCACAGGCCCGACTTGATTGATTATTCCAAACTCTCCAAAGACAATCCATTGGAAAATCTCAACACTGCCTTCGATGTTGCTGAGAAGTATCTCGATATTCCAAGAATGTTGGATCCTGATGGTAAGTGATAACATTTAGTTGTAATTCAAATCAAAAAACGAAAGTAGTTTGCCTACATTCTACATTCCAATATTGGTCTTAGATTTAGTTTTCTTAATAGAAACCAACCACTTTGTTTATTTTAGTCATTCACTTATTTGCTTTATTTCCATTTGTATCTTTCTTTTGATTTATGACACCCATCAATTTATAATTTAATACCCACTTGAAACAAAAACGAAACAACAATTTTTATTGAATTTTGATGGTGATGGTGGTGGTTACAACTGATATCTACGATATAACTGCTAACAGATTTAATCAACACTCCCAAGCCGGATGAACGTGCCATCATGACCTATGTGTCTTGCTACTACCATGCCTTCCAAGGAGCCCAACAGGTTGGAAATATGACGCATGTTCCCGAACCCACAAGACAATACACCTACGTCCCGAATTACGATGTGATTAACCTTCTCGATCAATACACTTGATACATTATTTCGTTTTTTTGGTTTCTATTACAGTTTGTTTTTTGGAAAACAAAATACGAATCCTTTAGTATTTCAAAAATAACACCAATAACCGTAAAATGATATGATTTAGATAGCCGAATGTTTAAGCGCCACAAATTACCGCCGTAATATATAAACGATCTATGCAGATCTACTATAAGCTCCAATGCCTAAAAATTTACATATATATATACTCTAAGTATATATGTGTGTCTAACTGACTACTGAGAATTGTTGTCGGTGTTGTAATTAAAACCGGATGCAATGAAACATTGTACTCTATGCCAAAGGCAATTGCCTAATTTATATGGCTACTATTAATGCCGCAATATCGAAAAAAAAAAATAATTTAACTCACCATCAATTGAGAAATGCAAAACAAAGGCTGAATAATGTATAGCAGTTGTTAAAGTCTGCTTTCAATAAGTCATTCGTCTAAACTTTTCTTTCTATCTTACTTCATACTTCATCAATTCTAATTCTCATAATAATATCATTTTTTAGATGAGCCATTTTATTTTTTTGAGAAGCCATTTTCGATTGTTAAAAATCTGTTGCTAGAAGGTGTAAGATTTTTCCTACACAAAACAAAGGAAATGTTTTATAGAAACGCATTTTTCTTAGAAGATCCAATGACTTCTTTTCACAGAATATCATTTTGGTTTCTTTTTCATTCTTCTTTTTAATCGTTCAACAATCAAATTAATATTAATATATTGTAATGTAGAGTTTATGTGGACTTCGAACCTGATAAAAGTTTCCAAAAGACAAATTTTAATTACATTATTTCATCTGTACATTCAAATCATTTAAAAAATAGACAGAATTCCTTGAACTATATTGCAAATTAGTTAAAGACATATCGTGTGGTATGTTAAATAGCCAATTTATAAGAAAGAAAAGAAGAATATATTTTTGATCTCTTTCAGATCTCAATATTGTTTAATGTTCTTCCCATTAGTTCTCCATAATTAATTTAACAATACACTTGTTGTACCCATTTGATACTCAACTATCTAATTTTTCTAATAAAATATATTTTACACATATTTCGAATATCAAAAATTTATTTGCAATATAGTTCTCTACAATGTCCTTGTTAGCCACAGAGAGACCATACATTTTAGTACTGAAAACACACACAAAAAATCGTAAACAAAAAACAACACTGCAAATTACCAAAAAAATATTTCGCTTACAATTTATTAACAAATTTTATGTTGTTTTTGTAATGAGTGTTTTGCTGTACTATAAATCGATTCCGAAGAAACATACATATAAATATGTTTTAAAATACATGGTTCTCAAAATATTGCAATCCGATCGATGGCCAAGTACAAAACACACAACTATCTTTTAATCCATATTTCCACATTCTCACTGTCATTAAACAAAAACCCCATTACAAAATTCTGTCCTTAAAATGACTATTAACAAAATTATGTGCCCATAAAGTGATTGCTGCCGCTGTTCCTGCTGTTGTAACTGACAACTTGCCATTGTTGCATGTGCCACCTAATTAATAATTTATTTAATTCATAATTTTATAATTTAAATAATTTTGCATGCCTATTTATATATTTTTGTTGTGTTTATTTATTGACAAATTAACAATATTTTCTATATGTCTTGTTTTTTTTTGTTGCTTTTCTTTTTTCTATTTTTATGCAAATTCCCCTAACAGACCTACAGAATACCGCATTACCAGATGAAAGGGCAGTCATGACATATGTCTCATCATATTATCATTGCTTCAGTGGTGCCCAAAAGGTTAGTTTTAAGTCCAGTCGGATCTTTCATGGATTGGATAAATGGTAGCCAATTGGTAGATGTGAACATTTTATATTCAACAAATTATGGAATGAAGTTAATCATAAAAGCGTAAAATATACTTTAGAATATATCAGTTTTTAATTAATACAAATTAGTGAGTTGTCCTTATAAGGGAGAATATTTGTCAGGTTAGGAATTGAAAACCAAATTGTAATGGAAAGCTAGTCTCAGGATTATGAATCTCAAGAAACATTGCATAGACAACATTGTCTTTAGATCATTATTTTTTTCGAAATATACAAACAAATTTAAAACAAAATAATTGACTCTGAGAAATGGGTCAATTCTAAATTATAAACATCATTTAAGGGTTATAGATAGCTACTTATTGAGCAGATAAACCTTGTTTTCATAAGGAAGGGGTCGACCAATCCTTTATAAAATATTTTTTTTTCATCTGAAAGATCTCACCTTTTTTGGATACCATCCTGACAAATACCCGCCTCCAAAGCTCGAAAACGAATTAGAATTTAAAATTGTGGTGAACTGTCAAATTAAAAATTTAGATTTCAACAAATAAAAATCGCCCATGTGCTGCATTTCGAGTTTGCTCGAATGTGAAACATTTTCCCAAATTTGGTGTGCTCCATTCCGAATTCCCAAAAAAATATTGGGAATATAATTCGAGCACATATAGCCTTGTGGATTGAAAACGAAATGAGATCGTACGTGTTTTTCTGAGCACGTACAAGTTGAAAAAGAACGCTGAAGTAATATTTAACGTGTTTTTACAATATTTATTTAAAAAAATACAGTATTTACATTAGTTTTATAGTAAAATTAAAGAAAATAAAAAAGGGCTCCTCCTGCAGCTGTCCACAGCTTGCACACACTTTGTCTTCCAGGACTTTCATTACTCTCCACAATATTTTACACATTGTTGTGCGATCAACACTTTATCATTAGACTTTTTCTGGTAGAAACCAGGGCAATTAATAAGCCAGCAGGCATATTTTTTCTTAATTTTGTTGTTAAACAAATTCTTCAAAATATCCATAAATGGTTATTTTAACACGTTGGTTATTTTAACACAACTGTGCTTTCGAGCCGCACTTTCGCTCGAAATTGAGCACACCATTTTGCACGACATGGGAATTTAAAAAAGTATGGGAATTCAAAAACTCTCGGAACATGTCACATGGGCTAATAAATAGTTTTCAGGAACAAATCAATCAGAATTTTTAAAATTGATTCCGATTGATTCGATATTTTTGCAACATACCCAAACTTTAGACTTTCTAAACATTTTCTTGGCTATAATCCCTTAGCAAAGCATTAGGTCTAGGTGCGAAGTAAAATGTCGGTGTAAAAGGTTTAGAAGACAATTTCAGAGAAAAAATTAAAATAAATTTCAATTTCCTGAAATAAATTCAATGAATTTAAAAAAGGAGAACAGTATATTTTAAATACAAATAGTAATTCGGAAAAATATATTATCTCTTATGAATTAGATTTCAAAGGTGTTTCTGAATTCAACATCAGAGTAGGAAGCTTATGCAAAAACTAAATCCGCTATTTTTATTTCACCTGCAACTGCTGATAATGTTCCATGAAAATGTTGTTGCCATAACCAACGTTATTAACGAATTAATCAAGAGTGTTCCGAATTGTGTTTGATGTTTATTTGTATTTGTTGTTGTTTTTTACTCTTTCTTGATTTCCCTTGTCCTTTGGACAAATTCCTGTTATAGAAATTTCTAATATTTAACATTTTCTTTGTCAATAGGCTGAAACGGCTGCTAACCGTATTTGCAAAGTTTTGAAGGTCAACCAAGAGAATGAACGTCTCATGGAAGAGTATGAACGTTTGGCTAGTGATGTAAGTGCAAAGAAATGTAAATTTACAACAACAAATCTTAAAATGTCTACTCTTTTAAATTAAGCTTTTGGAATGGATTCGCCGTACCATGCCCTGGTTGAATTCTCGCCAAGCTGACAATTCCTTGGCCGGTGTTCAAAAGAAATTGGAAGAATACCGTACCTACCGCCGCAAGCACAAGCCCCCACGTGTCGAACAAAAGGCTAAGCTCGAAACCAACTTCAACACATTGCAAACGAAATTGCGTCTCTCCAATCGTCCAGCCTACTTGCCCACCGAAGGCAAAACCGTTGCCGATATCTCCAACGCCTGGAAGGGTTTGGAACTCTCCGAAAAGGCCTTTGAAGAATGGCTGTTGGCTGAGACTATGCGTTTGGAACGCTTGGAACATTTGGCCCAAAAGTTCAAGATCAAGGCCGATGCCCACGAAGACTGGACCCGTGGCAAGGAGGAGATGTTGCAATCTCAAGATTATCGTCAATGCAAATTGAACGAATTGAAGGCCTTGAAGAAGAAGCACGAAGCTTTCGAATCCGATTTGGCCGCCCACCAGGATCGTGTTGAGCAAATTGCTGCCATTGCTCAAGAATTGAAGTAAGTATGCCAGACAAGTGAACTCAAAATTTGCCAAAAATTTACAAATTCCTTTTAAAATAATTCCTTTTCTTTATTTAAAAAAAAAATACTGATTTAACATGCCCACGTCCTTTTGTGGAAAATCTAGTGTGAGGTTCGCTGTAGTATTTTACCAAATATTTCTCATTTGTTACACATGATCATCGACACATAGGTGAATGTCAATTGTTTTGAGAGGTTCATATAAGGTTCATTAAACAAAACGTTTAATTACAATTATTCCTATAACGGAAAGTCAAATTCTTAAAATATTCAAGGAGACTTTCTTGAATGATTAAAATTATGCAATTTTTTTTAAAGTATAGTCTTCAAATTAATAATAAAAATTTTTAGGGTTCCAATTTATTAGTTACCATAGTTTAAAATTTATAGAGATGTTCGGAACACGTTGAAATGCTGTTTCACTTAGAATTGGACACAAATCTCTCATTGATTTTGCTAAAACTATGCACTTGAAACTATTTTTCAAGAGTTCAAATCAAATAAGTCCAAAAACACACAATCTCATCTCATTTCCATAGAGAGTAATACAAAAATATCCGATTTTTATTTAATATTTATTCTCTCCTTCTCTTTTTTGTTAAGCTCTTTGGAATACCACGATTGCGTCTCAGTGAATGCTCGCTGCCAACGCATCTGTGACCAATGGGATCGTTTGGGTGCTTTGACCCAACGTCGTCGCACCGCTTTGGATGAAGCTGAACGCATCTTGGAGAAAATCGACATCTTGCATCTCGAATTCGCCAAGCGCGCTGCTCCCTTCAACAACTGGTTGGATGGCACCCGCGAAGATCTTGTCGATATGTTCATTGTTCACACCATGGAAGAAATCCAAGGTCTCATTCAAGCTCACGATCAATTCAAGGCTACCTTGGGTGAAGCCGATAAGGAATTCAATTTGATCGTCAACTTGGTCCGTGAAGTTGAATCCATTGTCAAGCAATACCAAATTCCCGGTGGTTTGGAGAACCCCTACACTAACATCACCGCTAACGACATGACACGCAAGTGGAGCGATGTCCGCCAATTGGTGCCACAACGTGACCAAACCTTGGCCAATGAATTGCGCAAACAACAGAACAACGAAATGTTGCGCAGGCAATTCGCCGAAAAGGCCAACATTGTTGGTCCTTGGATCGAACGTCAAATGGATGCTGTCACCGCCATCGGTATGGGTCTGCAAGGCTCTTTGGAGGATCAATTGCACCGTCTGAAGGAATACGAACAGGCTGTCTATGCCTACAAACCCAATATTGAGGAATTGGAAAAGATCCATCAAGCCGTCCAAGAATCGATGATCTTCGAAAACCGTTACACCAACTACACAATGGAGACATTGCGCGTTGGCTGGGAACAGTTGTTGACCTCAATTAACCGCAACATTAACGAAGTTGAAAACCAAATTCTCACCCGTGACTCCAAGGGCATTAGCCAAGAGCAATTGAACGAGTTCCGTTCCAGCTTCAACCACTTCGACAAGAACCGCACCGGTCGCTTGACACCCGAAGAATTCAAATCCTGCCTTGTCTCCCTGGGCTATTCCATTGGCAAGGACCGTCAAGGTGAAATGGACTTCCAACGCATCTTGGCTGTTGTAGATCCCAACTCCACCGGCTATGTACACTTTGATGCCTTCCTGGACTTCATGACACGCGAGAGCACAGACACCGACACTGCCGAACAAGTTATTGATTCATTCAGAATTTTGGCAGCCGACAAGGTAAGCTAAGCCCGTGCCATCGATGTTCTTATCCACTGAATTTCATGTCAATTTCTTTTTTAATTTATAGCCATATATCTTGCCCGATGAATTGCGTCGCGAATTGCCCCCAGATCAAGCTGAATACTGTATCCAACGTATGCCACCATACAAGGGCCCCAACGGTGTTCCCGGCGCCCTCGACTACATGTCCTTCAGTACAGCTCTGTACGGTGAAACCGATTTGTAAATCAACTGAGCTCATGTGCCACACAAAAAATTTTAGTTCTATAACCAACAAAACAACTCGTCTATTTTAAATGATTTTTTTTAAGTAACCAAATTTAGAGTGAGAGATTTTCAACCACAAAGATCGGCTAAATAAAGTCTACAAAACAAAAAACACCATTCAAATACGTTTTAAGTTAATCAATCTTGAAAAAAGAAATTATAAATAAATGTTCTATTTCGTACTAACCCGCCCGCCCGCACTACTATACAACTACAAAACAAAAGAGATCGAGATTAACTAACCCACCACAACAACATCAATGCGATTAACAACTACAATCATGCAAAATACACATACACACACGCATATATGCCAAGCTTATAATCCCTACCACAGAATTTGTGAATTGTGCAAAATGGACTACTCCGATATATCACCGAAATACATATCACAGTTAATAAGGGAGAGCTATTGAGAGAGAGAAATAGATAATCGAGAAGAGAGAGAGAGAGAGCGATTAATGAAAACAATCATATCCTCGCATGAGGATTTATTCATTCATCAATTGTTTTTATCTTGGAGAAGCCTTCATGGCATTCGTTGTCAATGAAATGTGAACGATCAATCGATAATCCTGGCAGAGACAAAGTTCAGCGTCACCGTCACAGCCACTACACGATGGAAGGAAATCAATACTAAAACAAATCATATTCTTATGATCACCGTTCATCTGAGATGAATAGATTGTAATGTAATTGAATAATAACAAATATATAATTATCTTTTGATATTTAATTTTTAGTTACTATTTTTTAATTTTTTGTTTTTTTTTATTATTTAATTTTTGTTAATTTAATTATTAATTTATTCTATTTTTATTGTGCGCCCCCAAACTATAACTTTGATATTCTGATTGATTCGATTTCGTTTCTAATAAACCACAAGAAATAAATTATTATTATCATTTAATTATGTAAACATTTTTATATAAAAAAAATATAAAGGCTAAAAAAACAAAAGAAAACAAAAACAACTCGTCAAAAAACAACAACGTATAAATTATTGTAATACTATTTTATTATTACTATACAATTTTACTATTAAAGAGAGAGTAAATTATTTTATTACGAAATAATAACAATAAAATACAATAAAAAAAACTACAACAACAATAATAATAAACAACCACCACTCAAATCTATGCAACAACAGTGATGATTCAAATAAATGAATGCCAAACCTATTTTTAAACATAAATAAAATGAAAACGTCCAAAAATTTATACATAGATATGTCAACAAAAACCAGAAATCCGGCTAAATAAAATTGAAGGTTTTCAAAAAGAAAAAAACATTATGGACATTTTTAGCTATTAACAATATTAATTGGCCATATTGCTTTTGCCATATTGCATATTGCTTTTGCACACACATGGCTGGCATTATTGCAGCACGATGACGATCAAGTATTGGTCACTCTACAGGGGATTTTTAGGGCTTGTCTGTTTTTATCATACATACCAAGTCTATGAAAAGAGATAACCGTGGCCTTCACCCCAAAAGCTGGAGAGCTGAGTCGTACGATCCCTAAGGATTATGGATCGATTAGCCTTCCTAGTCAAGACTTTAGAAATTAGAAAATTAGGAACACTATAATTTCTAACAAAATCAGCAAATCCGAACATACCTATATCAAAGGCAAATCTGTGGACACTGCCTTACAGTAGGTGGTCGGCCATATCGAGAAGAATATGGAGAGCTCCGGTTACCAATTGGCTGTATTCCTTGATATCGAAGAAGCCTTCAATAATGTAAAACTGGTAGCTATCCATTCTGCTCTTGAACGTCCGGATGCTGAAAAGAAGAATTATCAATTCATCTATTAGAGAGAGTTCCGTGAGGAAATCTGCCAACAGAGCAAAACCACAGAGGGAGTTCTATCTCCTCTACTATGGATTCTGGTAATAAATACTGATGAAATTGGATAATCTTAGGATAAAAAAAAAAAAAAAAGATTGTAGCCTATACCGATGATGTAGTCTTATTAGTCAGTCAGTCTGATATAATGCAGGGTGACTTATTAACCCTGACCAACTCTTCACTAGGAAGAGTAAGATCCCAAACTTCCGTCTGGCATCTCTGGTTGGAGTAACCATAACCCTTTCATTAGAAGCAAAATACCTAGGTACATAGGCTAAAGTGGAAAAGGTATGTTGAGGGACGCACTAAGAAAGGTTTAATAGCACTATACCCTTGCAAGAACTCTATAGGGAAAAGTTGGAGGACTAAAACACGATTGGTTGTATTTAACGGTTGTATTCCCCATACTTATATATGGTTGCCTTGTTTGGTGACGGGGGTGGTCAAGTGTACACTGCTGGCCAAAATGAGTAGCGTACAATGATCAACGTAGATCCTGATTACCAGAGCACTAAGAAATACACCCCAAGCGGCCTTGAATTTAATCTTAAATCTTCAACCACTGTATATTTCGGTTAAGTTCCAGGCTGCTCACTGCAAGGAATTGGTCATATAAAATTAACGATCTCTGTAGCATTTTTCACCAAAGCGGCTGAGATAGTCAAAACACATACTGCTGATAATGTATGACCGATGACTATATATGTCGATATTCAGGCGGCTCTTACATCACTTAAGTCGTTTACAATAAACTCAGAAGCGGTTCTTGATAGGAAATGTCAGACATAAAGTTAATTTATGTTGTTCCAGGACATAGATGGTAACGAGCTTGTTCGAGGGGGTTCGCCGAGAAAGCCAACAAAAGATGTTCAGCAAAACCTGGATGCAGGATTTCAAAGAGAGAAAATCATTGTAGGGATAATAACAGGTCACTGCAGTATTAGATCGCTCACATCCAAATGAGACATTAACGAAGTGTATTATTGCCGGTTAAGTGAGGATGAGGAAGAATACATCGCTCATTTGCTGCAAGACAGGCATAACTCAAAAAAGCGATTTTGCAGAAAATGTGTTTAAAGTTTTCAATTTATTCACACTTTATATGGGGCAGAGGAACTTCTACAGCTTCTGAATTAGAGTGTGTAAGAGATATTCATATTTACACAACTTGAGGTCTATTATAGCGAACAATCGTGCATCATTAACTCGAAAACAGGTTTTTTGAGTTATGCCTGTCTTGAAGCAAATGAGCGATATATGAATATATACTCTGTAGATGTCCATGTCTCTTTGAGGCAGACGGAATAGACTGATTGGAAAATTTGAAATTGCTACTTTTGGGGTTCTCCGGCGAATCTTTCAATGGGTTGGAAACGAAATGACAATTTTAATATTTTTGGTTTAAAAATGAACAACTTTTTTAGGAATATTATAGACTAGACACATTCATATTTCAATCGACTACAATAACATCAAGGCAATCACACAATAAATGGTACAGATAGAATATATCCGAAAACGTTAAGAAATTAGGACAAACCACAATTTATATTCCAGGGCGTAGGGGAGATAAAATATCATGGTTTTGTTAGTATTGAGGCAAATGCAGCAATCAGGAAACAAAAGTAGGAAATTCACATGACCATTCTGTATTTCCTTATCCGGTTATAAAAATAGATTTTGGGTTTGTTCCGAAACAAATGACTGGAATTGCACATAAGGTCATAAAAACAAGAGATTAATCACACCAGGGATTGTTTGAAGCATAAAATTCACACAAAGTCAAGGATAATGATTGACATGAAGGAAGGAAGGTCATAAAACAGAATTAACAGGTAATACATTGCTCTGAACGCAATTTTGCCTACCTGACAATTAGTCATCGTCTGTGGAATTTGTCACTGTGGGAATTTCCAAAAGATTTATCAATGAAATTGGTTTATCCTTTTGTGTCGATTAACAATGGGCGAGGGAGAGAGAGGTAGGCAAAATTATGAATGAAATTTCCTTGGGAATTTTTCCAACGATTTATCAATGAAATGGGTTGTGGATATAAAAGGATGAGGAATGTTTGAAATCAGCAACAGTCATTGATACACGTTCATCCCAGTAACATCAAAACAGAAATGGCAACCAGTAAATTAACGATTTTGTTCGCGATTTTATTCGTCCAAGTTATATACTGCGAAGGAAAAGTTATAGATTTCTCAAGAAATGCAAAACTACAAAAATATTTGCAAGTTCATCAATGCCGGCAAGAGTGTTATTTAAAGGTAAGTGATAAATTCAAATCAAGTGTGGAATTTTTATTAACAAAATATGTTTACATTTTTTTCATATAGACCCTTAATGTTGAAGTGGGAGATTTTGATGTATGTCGTGATGTTCCCGATTGTTATATGTGCTATGATTATTGTGAAGCTCTTCCCAAAGCAGCCATAGACTTGGCTCAGTCTATGTGTTCCGATGAAGTTTATTGCTCGAAAGGATGTCGTATAGCCTGTAAATATCATCGAATAACCGCAGTTCATACACTTGTCTATGAAATCCAAAAATGAAGATAATTTACAACATTTCTAATGTACATATTTAAAATAGTTAACTTAATTGTATTTAATTAATATTATTTTTTGTATAGGAAAATAATTATCTTAATAAAACTTTTTAAACCCATAACACAGTATTGTTCATCAATCAATGAGTACGGCATCGCAAAATATGCGTGTTTTCGTATGCGCCTAGTGTTATGCCATAGTTCTTGCATGTACTAAACCACAGTCACAAACCTTGCGTGTTTATCTGTAACGGCGACATCTTTGTCTTGTTATTGTATAGAGCTTTCGATGTTTACAAATAGGTGGCTCGGAATGTAGTGGGAAGTCATTTTCTATCACTAGAGGGCTCTAAAGTAAAATAAAATAGGGATGTTCGCATTATATGTTGAACAGTTATATCGTAAATTCAAAACCCAAACCAACCAAAATATAACAGTTTTTAGTAACAACATACGTCTTTCATAAAACCAGGAATACGATATGTCAAATTATAGCCATTTTCATGAGAAAATCCGGTGGAATATTTATTTATACCGAAAAAGACGAGGACCTTTTATGTGATATATCAAAGCTTGGACCTATATATACACCGCACAAATTTGTATAGCCTTCCAGAACCCTTTATACCAAATTACAACTCCCATCGGTTGGAAAATGCAGCTAAAGTCTTCAAAATACCGAAAATGGGATGATACTTCT